ATGTCTTTTACAGCGTTTCAGAATACTAAAAATCCTCCAGTGTCTTTTCATTATGTAAATAAATGAAAAGTATTAATGCTGATTTTCCAATAGGCAAAAGTATACACAAGACTATTGCACTAATGAGACTTCACAAATGGCTAGGAGACATGGAATGATTTAAGTGCCTAGGAGGTTAATACCATTAGTAAAACCCTTATAAGTCTCTTCCCCCAGATGCCCTGGTTGGAGGAATGTGATGTAACGCTATTCTTAGTGTGGGAAGACAGGGGTTCAAATCTTGCAGCTGATACCAGCTGTGTGATCTTGGGCAAATCATTAAATTTTCTGAGCCTCATTTTCCTCTTCTGTATTATAGAGATGAATACTTACACTCTCTACCTGACAACTATCATAAGGAAGAGAATTTTAAATTTAAGGTGCTGCTAAGAGGCGTTACTGTTGTTCCTGTTGTTAAATATGCTTGTTTGTTTGAATTTCATTCAATAAGCAAGGAGTTGACAATAACAAACTGAAGAACAAGAATTAACACTTACATAGCACTTTCCTATGTGCCGACACTATGCTAAGTGCTAGGCAAAAGACAGTCCCTGCCCTCAAGGAGCTTTCAATCTAATGGGGGAGGAAGCAAGCAAACATATATATATATATATATATATATATATATATGTATATGTGTATATATATATATATATATGTATATGTATATGTGTATATATGTATATATGTATATGTACGAGAGAGAGAGAGAGAGAGAGAGAGACATATAGCCAGCTATAGACAAGATAAATAGGAAATAATTAACAGAGAGAAGGCACTAGAATTAGCATGCAAAACACTATGTTGCTAGGGGCTGAGGGAAATTTTAAAAAATCATTTTGACGCTGCCCCTGCTCTCATGTAGTTCACAGTCTTGTAAAGGGATAAGAATTCGATGCAGATAAATGAAATGCATGACAGACACAGACCAGATCTGTTATTTCTCTGGTACAGGGAATTCCCAGTAAGACACTTCTCTACCAAAACAGGTTGACACCTTCTCTGCAATTTGCCTAAAGCACAGAGAGACTAGGCAAGTTGTTGTGGGGTCATGGGTGCCAAAAGTGAAACTTGAACCCTGGTCTTTTAGGCTTTGAAACTATCTCCCTATCTATAATGTCACTATAATGAACAACAGAACACAGTAAATATTTAAGAGCCTGTTGCCTATCGCATACCGATGTATGCTATGTGACCATGGACAAGTTGTTTAATCTCTCCGTGTTCCAAACAATTCTCTATGACTATAAATTACAGAGGAATTGCAAATCTGCATAATTGGGAGTGGGAAAAGGAGGAGGAATTTCCATCCATAACAATGCAATCACAGGTGCAAACTCTGATCTCTACCCCTCCCCCCCAAAAAAATAGATAAATAAATAAAAAGTATGCAAAGAACTAATACCTTAAAAATATAAATAAATTAAAATCAGCAGGATATCATGGGATTCATTTCCTCAGGCTTTGGTTCCCTCTTCTGAAAAAGTCACCACCTCAGGGTCTCAGTTTAATGGATTTTCACTGATGCCTTCTAAGCTCCCTTATAGTTCTAATGTTCCATGATTTTCGGTGGTGCACTAGATAGACCTTTGGACTTGGAGGCAGGAAGACTCGAGCTCAAATCCTGCCACAGACACTCCCTAGTTGTGTGATGCTGGGCAAATCATTTAGACTCTCCAAGCCTCAGCTTCCTCATCTGTAAAAGATTTCCTTCTGCTATTACTTCCATTTATACTCTACATATCTTGTACACACAATTATTTGCCTATTATCTCCTCCATAAGAAAGCAAACTTCTTGAGGGCAGGGACTATACCTGGCACACAGTAAGTGCTTAATCCATACTTGTTGGCTGACTAAAAGGGCAACAATAATTGGCACCTCTCTCACACAGTTGTAAGAATAAATGATGATGTGTATGTGAAAAGAACTTTACAAATAATAAGTGACATCAAAAGTGTATCTATTTCAACATAAGACTGTTGAGTACATATAGGGGGCTAATGTGCAACAAGACCAGAAAGGTAAGTTGAGGCCAGAATGCAAAGGGTTTTAAACCCCAAGGGGTTTATATTTGATTCTGGAGACTATAACAAGTCACTAGAGTTTATTGAGTAGAGGAGTGACAGTTATATTTATGGTTTAGGAAAATCAGTTAGACCCTGATGAAAGATTTAGCAGGAACATTGATTTTTGATAGTCACAGTGATGGGGTTGAAAAAGACAGTTTAAGAACAACAGAGTACTATACCCATGGCCAAACTGAGTGTCCCAGGGGAAGGGAGACCCCTGAGCATCCCTGTGAATTTCCAGACTCTCAGAAAAGGGGAAAATTAATGCTATATCTTCCAATTTGGCACCACATAAATCCTCGTGTGAAAGAGACTTCTGGGCAGTGTAATTTTAAAAAGCAAGTGTGTAAATTTTAGAGCTGCATCAGTCAATGTGTCTTCAGGCATGTTTTATGTTCCTATGTTGTTAAGAATGTTGGTGATTTTTGGATTTCAATCCGTGGTTCAAATTTGCATGTAGAAAGCCAAGTGTCAGCATTAGGAAATACAATAATAAAATATTGTTCATGATCCTTCTCTAATTTGGCAGTATCCATAGACCTCAATATGCTGGGAGGGACCTTAGAAATAATATTATCCAACAGGAATCTGATATCTTAAGAACTCTTGCAAATGAGAGCAGTGGAAAGAGTGATATGCCTGGAGTCTGGAGAGACCCAGGTTTAAATCATTCCTGTGACACTGACTAGCTGTGTGGACATAAGCAATTACTTGTTTCTCTGAGCTTCAGTTTCCTCACCCCCCAAAAAAAATGGCAACAGTAATTACTTTGTTAGATGGTTGTAAGGACTGGGGGAGATGATGTATGTCTATAGTATTTTGTAAAGTGTTATATCCCTCATCTTCTCATCTGTTCTCCCTCTAATATGTCCTCTACATTTTAAATTATTATTTTTTATATATAAATTTGATCATGTCACTTTTCTAATCAAACCGCTTCCATGGCTCCCTTAGTACCTACAGAATAAATTTCAAATTCTTCAACAAATTGTCCAGCATTATTTCAAACAACCACTTTCTACATATTCTGTGATCAGCCAAAATGAGCTACTTGCTGATTCATTGAATGTGCCCTGTTACTTTCTACCTCTTTACCTTTGATTGTATGTTTCCCTGTCTTTGGAGAATGTCTCTTTCTCCCACCATCTTTTGTTGAATTTCTACAACAATAAAAATAACTCACATTTATATAGTGCTTAACGTTTACAAAGTATCTTACAAATATTATCTTATTTGATCCTCATAACAACCCTGAGGTAAGTGTATTTATTATCCTCAGTTTGCAAATGATAAAACTGAGGCTTACAGAGCTGATCCTTCAGTTAGATATGCTTATTCCTTCCCTAGACACAACATAGCACCTGCACTTTTTTATGCTCTTGTTCTACTAATTGGAGTCACAGAGTTGTGTGGAGTAGCAAAAAGGACACTGACAATAGATGTCAACATCCCAACTCTCCTTGATTGGGTCCTTTGACATGTTTCCTGAAACCATGGGCATCTCCAAGGCTCAGTTTACTCCCCTATAAAATGAGAATAACTATCCACCCCCACAGGGCTGTTATAAAATGAACTGAATTGTCAAGAACTGTACAAAAGTAAGCTATTGTTACTGTGCATTATAATTATCCATTCCTCTATTGCATGACCTCTCCTGGACTTAGCTAGAAGTCTTCAAGCTGAGGTTGGATGCTCCTTTATGGGTTATATTGTAAAGAAAAACTTTGTTCCAGTACTACTGGATCTAGAGAGCTGCTTAAATCCCTTCCAGTTCTGAGTCCTGTGGGGCATGGGTGATCCAAACTGCAAACCTTCCCTAGGGCTTAGCATAGAGCTCTGCTAAAAAAAAAAAAAAAAAAGACTAAATAAGTGTTGGATTGAATGCGACCACACAAGACAATAGCAGCCAGACTAGGACAAGAAGAGCTCAGGTCTTCTGTCATCTAATCCAGAGATTTTTTTCCACTAAACCATATTAGTATTACCAAGAAGAATGTCTTTTATTAGAAAATACAGACAAGCAGGACAGCGTGAAAAGTAACATGTCAAATTTATCACATTCTTTTTCAAAAGCAAATTGTACATCAGTGGCATCGGACTCAAATGGAAATTGATCCCTGCTGGCCACTTATTAACTTAGAAAATCACAAATTAATGTTATCTCTGTTGTATTGTATTTTCTTATTTTGTTAAACATTTCCCAATTACATTTTAATTGGGTTTGGATTGCACTGAGGAGTTTCACTGGCCTAGAGTTTGACACCTCTACTATACATAATAGAGATTCCCAGTTTCACATGTAAACTTTTTTCTGTTTTACTTCGTCTATGAAAATATTCTTCTTTTTTGATGTTAAGATTAAAAAAAAGAACTTTTTTAAAGAAAAAATGCAATTTATTACTTCTTATCCTCTTAAAATTCTCATTAATTTTTTTTTGTTAATAAGCATTTACATGTGACTTTCACCTATTGGCAATAATGTCAGCATGTAAATTCAGGTTTTCTTACTCTAGGACTCTGTCTACTATAATGGTCTTCATCTCTAAGTCTGAACCGCAATGACTGAGGGAATCATAAATTCAGAGCCAAGAAGAGACATCTGAGGTCATCTAGTCCAACTCATTCATTTTACAGAAAAGAAAATTGAGACCCTGACATGGGAAGTGACTTTTCTGAGGTCCCAAGTTATAAGTAAAAGAATAAGGATTTGAACTCGTGTACTCCAGCTATGGGTGCAGTAGACCCTCCATTAGTTTCCATTGCCCCTTTGAGAATCCCATATTTTCTCTCCTGACACAGGACATGATGATATCTGCAGAGATGTCAGGGTAAATGGAATCATTATTATGTTGCCAGTGTTTCAATGATGTGTTCTGTTGCTGTTTTTCAGGAGAAAGTGAAGCCAAACGAATCAAGGTAAACAGAATCGTTACTGATGATGTGCATGTCTACTTGGCAATAGGAATAGAATGATGTCAGTGTTAAATGCCCATTGGTGAAATGCGCTCTATAAGTTTTGTTAAGATTTATTTGCTGTGCTCACATGACTTGGGCAGTGGCGAACAGTGGGGAAAGCAGAGGACGTGAAGTTTCAGGACCAGGCTTTGAATCTTAGCTGTGATTGATGCTTACTATTCTGTGACCATAAGCAAATGACTTACTTCTGTCTGAGCCTCAGTTTCCTCATCTGTAAGATGGAGATTATAATCTTAAAACTACCTGCTTCAATTCAATTCCATAAAGTAGATCAAGCACTTATTATGTGCCAGGCACTGGGGATACAATGACAAAATGAGAGTCCCTGTCCTCAAGCAGCTTACATTCTACTGAGGGGAAACAATCTGTACAAAGATAAGTAATATTATTTCCATACATACATACATACATACATATATATATATATATATATACATATGTATATGTATATATATATATGCAAAGTAAATACAGAGTTATTTGTGGGGCAGGACAGAATACTTACAACTTCACAGAGCCCTTTTGAGGGAAGTGCTTTATAAATCTTAAGATGATATCAAATATGAAATCTCATATTTGTCTATTATAAAACGTAGATGCAATTGAGATTGTCAATGCTTCCATTCACACTACTTGCCATTTCTCTTTTCTCTAGAATCCTTTGCCACCTCCTAGGTAAGACTCAAAATATGTTTGCTTGTTTTTTCATGAAAGCATTTTCTCCTTCACTTGGTAATTCAGATTTTAGAGGATTCAGAGCCGGGCTTAGTTAGGATCCTATGACTAAAATTCCTACTACAGAAATCAGCCCAGGGGGATGGAAGCTGTTCAAGAATGAAATTCTGGTGACATAAAGGGAAACCAATTCTGATGAGGAATAAAAAGGGCTATTATGTAAAGAGACAAATGTGGAAGCCCAGGGAACTCACCAACCAGTTTAGAATAAGAAGGGCACGTGCAGAAAATGGGAAGCAAGGGCAGATGAAAGAGGAAGAATACAATAGGGTATTATGGTCTTATAGGAATAGAGTCAGGATTGTAAGAATTATGTTTAATGCAATTACCAACCCCAATTCCAAAGGACCAATGAGGAAGCATACCACCCATTTCCTGACACTGAGGGATCAAGTTATAGAATGGGACACGGTTTTCATTTTTCTTTTTCTTTTTTTTTTCCAACAGGAGAGCTGGGAGCAATAGGAGAAAGAGAAGGAAGGAAAGAAAGAGACAAAGAGAGAGAGAGGGAGGGAGGGAGGGAGGAAGAGAGGAAGCGAAAGAAGGAAAGGAGGAAGAAAGAAAAAAGAAAGAAAGAGAAAAAAAGGGAAGGAAAGAGAGAAATTCATTGAAACATTTTTGAATATACAGAAGAAAACAGAAAAAAGATTAGAAGAAAACTCAGACAAGCTGGACACTCTTGAAAATTTTTGTGTTGAATTCATTACATGCTTAAAAGGAAAAGCAAGCTGTACATAATACAGATTTACAATTCCACAATATTCTTTCTCTGTTCTACTTGGCATGTTTTTGCTAAGTTTAGATTTTAAGGAAAATAAAAGAAAGAATAGGATCATAAGAATGAGTGTGAGGTTGTCAAGGAAAGCTAAGAACAACACCACCAACAAAAAGGGGTGCTGAATGAACTTTGAACCAAGAGGACAGAATATGAAAGGCTATGTAGCTCCAATGTCTATACCTCTCTCAAGATTTCCTCATGGCTGTGGAAGGGCAACTGATTTTAGAAACATTCTAAAACATATTTTAGAAACAGTGTCTTATTTCCTGTATCTACTTCCTATTTTGTAAGAACTATTTTTTTTTAATCTTGTGATCTTCCAAATTGATCTTTTTTGTTTCTCTATAATAACAGGCCTCCAAACAGCCTTCCAAAGAAATATCAACCCCTTCCTCCTGAACCAGAAAAGAGTAGGCTCATTCTAAACCAAAGACATGATTTCCCAAAAGTTGACAGAAGCACCAGGTAAGAGTTTTGAGCTGTACACGCTACAGACAAGTGTCAGAACTGCCTTTATAGGAGAAAGAAAAAAAAGGGAAGTTTCCATTCAACACATCTTTATAAGAATTAAGTGACCACTAGAAATATAATCTTGGGAAAATGTCAGCCTAATTTCTTTCTAAAATTAAAGTTGCTGTTAAAGAAAACTAATAAGTATTAATAATAAACACTTAACTAATAACACTAATAAACACTTAATTTCCCTGGGCCTCAGTTTCCTCATTTGTAAAATGAGGTGATTGAACTAGACGATCTTATTTCATCTAATCCAAAAATCCTTCCTTAAACATTTATTATAATAAGGCATTGCGCTAAGTTTTGGAAATAAGAAAACAAAGTGATTAATAGTACCTACCCTTAAGGTATTTATTTTCTACTTATATGTTCTCCAAAGTCCCTTGAAACTCTAAATTCAATGATTCCCATTCCCATTTAAAATAACTCCTTACAGTTTACCAAGTAGTTAGCTGTGCGGTAACCAGGACAAAAATTATTATTGCCACTTTACAGATGAGGAAACTGAATCTCAGAGAGGTTGACTGATCTGTTCACAATCACACAGTCAAGTAGAAAGAACCAGGACTCAAACCCAGATTTCTTTTCTCGAAATCCTCTACACTTTTTTTGACATCCTGCAGCCATTCAAGAAAGAGACATGGTCAGGGTTTAATTTGATCCCTTAAGATGCCAGAAACTCCAAGAATTTGAATCAGGAAACCGCATTCACAAACTAGAAGGAACTTATTGTTTTAGGTTCAGTACAGTTTCTCAATTCCCAATCACTAAATTACAGGAAGTGAAAACATCACACAAAAACACATTTGTCAAAAATGTTATTGCTTCTTTGACAAATAGATATGGAAAAATCCAGACCTCTAATATTAAGTGTCCATGATAGATCACTTCTCTCATCACTCAAAGAATATTTGTTACCCTGCTGTGATCATAAAATGCAACAAGTCCAAATAGCAACATCTCCCCAAGAGACTTGGTAAGAATGTTTTTAATGAATTTCTTTGGGGTGTAGGAATAGCTCCCTTTCTGCTGTTTTTCACCACAGAATATATCTTCAAAGCAATTTAGATTCACTGGGCCAGTGTGACCTGTAATGGCAGGAGCTTTGGATTTGATATCAGAGAGCCTGAGCCCATTCCTCAGCTATGCCTCTTAGTAACTTCAGTGTAGGCAGTCTTTTACTCTCTCTGGGACTCGGTTTCTTAACCTGCTTAAAAAAAAAAGTTTGGAGTAGATGAGCTCTAAAGTTCCCTTTCATTCTGTAGTTCCATATTCTAAGACCCTTCCCAGCTTCAAAAATGCTGTACAGTTTTGTTAATCATTATCTCCTTTTTTAGGGGGTAGCTAGGTGGCAAAGTAGATAGAGTGTCAGACTTGGAATCAGGAAGACTCATCTTCCTGAGTTCAAATCTGACCTCAGACACTTACTAACTGGGCAAGTCACTTAATCTTGTTTGCCTCAGTTTCCTCATCTGTAAATGAGCTGGAGTAGGAAATGGCAAACCACTCCTGTATCTTTGCAAAGAAAATCCCAAATGGGGTCACAAAGAGTTGGGCATGACACAAGAACAACAAACATCTCATTTTTTGAGAGTAGAAATATTCTTCATGGTTCCACAAATTTTTGTTTGTTTGTCTTAGGCAAGTGGGGTTAAGTGACTTGCCCAGGGTCACACAGCTAGTAAGTGTCAAATATTTGTTCTGAGGCTGGATTTGAACTCAGTTCCTCCTGACTTCAGGGCTGGTGCTCTATCCAAAGTGCCATCTAGCTGCCCCTTGGAGCCACAAATTTAAATCATGTTTTCATCACTTTGAGTTCCCATGAGAAGGCAATGTTGAGGAGTTAGATGATCTGGGTATGAATCCTGGTTCTGCCATTTACTCACTTTGAAATCTTAGGCAGGTCCCTTCAAATCTCTATGTCTGTTTCTTTATTTGTAAAGTTAAGGGGCTAGGCTGAATGTTCTCCTAAGACCCCTTCCAGCTCTCCATCCATACTTTTCTGATCTTCGGTTTCCTAATCTTAAAAATTGAAATTCTAACACCTGTACAATCTATCTCACAGGTGTATTATGGGAATCTGATGAGAAAATGAATGTGAAAATTATTTGCAACCTAAGATGCTAAATAACAAAGCAATTGTGGAAGGAGTGTAAGTCTCAGAGCCAGAAAACTGATCCAAATCTTGGCTCCCCCACTTACTTGCTATGTGACCCTGAGGGAGTCATTTAATCTCATCAGTCCTCAGTTTTCTTATCTTTAAAATGGAGATACTCTAATACTCCAATAGATCTGTGACCTCTTCCATTTGGAAGTTCCCAACCAATGATGCAGGCTGCCATTAACAATAATAGCAATGGCAACAATAACAATAAGAATAATAGCATTGATATAGAGCTTTAAAGTTTATAAAGTATTTTCCATTTGTTACCCCATTTAATCCTTAAAACAACCCTGTTCCATAGGTGTGATGGGTCCCCATTTTATGAATGAAGAAACAGGCTAAGCAGGGTTCATTGACTTATATATGGTCCCGGAACTCCTAAGTGTCTAAGAGAGAAATCAAATTTGAGTCTTCCTGATTCCAAATCCAACCCCTCTATCCATTCCATCACGTATCCATTGTCTTCCCATAAGTTCACAGTAATTAGTTCATCTGACCTCCTGGGGACTTCACTCACAGTCTCTTGATATCCCTGTTCACTGGAACACATGAACTGCCCACCCATCATCTCTTGTTCTTGATTGGCTCATATTCTTTTCTGGTCAATGACATCCTTCATGTTGCTTCTATGTAATTCCTCACTTATAATGTGCTGTAACCTGACCACTAGGTATCTCATTAAAATGAGGGTCATAGTAAAAATCATTATAAAAATAACAAATTTTATCCAACATTTACACAATACTTTAAAGTTTGCAAAGGGTTATAGATATATAAATATATAGATCCCATGTGATGCTATAATAATATATTATAACACCAATAATAATAATAATACATGCCTCACAGGGTTATAGTAAGGAAAGTGTTTTGTTAAATGTTAAATTTAACTGACTATAGAAATATGAGCTACTGATAGATTCCTTCTAATAATATAGTGAATCAGTCAAGTTTTTTGTTCTCTGTAATTGTAATTATTCTCCATTGTGGTTAGCACTATGTGAAGCACTTAGTTTTATTTCTGGGGTATGGCTGTTTAGCCAAAAACGGCTCTGTAACTGACTAACTGGGGGACATATGGCCTTAACCTCTGGAACCTCAATTTCCTGATCAATAAAATGGGAATCTACTTCAGAGGGTTATAGTGAAGATTAACCATGCAAGAGCTTTCTAAACTGTAAAACACATATGAGAGATTATATATTGGCCCTCCATTTTGATGAGGGTGGCTGAGAAAAAAGGCAGGCCCTAGTACCTCATTATCATTGGCCTGCTGAGTGCTAAATACAGATCATAGAAGATCGAAAGTACCTTAGAGCTTCTCCACAGGCAGCATCTTTGATCTTCAACTGCCATCACCACATAGGGCATTGAGTCTCTGTGCTTACTTCACATATGCCTTCTCCTCTTGTATCAGAGCCCCAGGAGAAAGGTTGGGGTGAGGAGTTGTTGTTTTGGGAGAAAGGGAGAAGTCCCAAGCTAGGAAACCCACAACCACATATACCATTTGTTTTCAGAGCTATTTATAAAACAAGATTCTTTTAATATGATTAGGATTATACATAGGGTCCTTCAAAGTCAGCTAATCCAACCCTTTCACTGTGGGGATGATGAAACTGATACTGGTTGAAATTCAGTGAGTTTGCCCAAGATTACAAAGCTAATGCATAGCAGAACCAAAAATTGAATACAAGTCCATTGCCTCTCAATCTGGTGCTACACCACCTCTCCTATTCCTGCTGAAAAAAAGCTGGAAGGGATCTCAGGAGCCATCTAGAGTAACCCTTTAATTTTAATAAAATAAATTTAATCAATTTTAATAATTTAATTAATAAATAAAATTTAGTAAAATAAAAAGGGAAACTCAGGGACAGGCAAGACAAGTCACGGGCCAAAAGTCACAAAGCTAACAAGTAACCAGAAATTGAACTTAGGCCCTATGACTCCAAACTCAGTGTTCTTTCCACTTATACCCCATTGCCCAGCTGAAAAGAATCATAGCTTGTTAATTTAACTTTGCCTAGAATCAATAATTCAGAGCCCTTCTTTCTCCATTCTCATAATGGATTTATTAAAAGGAATTCATTAATTCATTCAATAAGCAAGGTCCCCAGGCCTACAGTGACAATCATTAAACAGTCCCAATTTTCAAGGAGCATATACTCTATTGGGGAGGGACAATACAAAAACAGATAAATAAATAATAGATAAACCTAGAATATATGCAAAGTAAATAAATAGTAATTTAGGGGAATCCCATCAGCCAGGTTTTTTGTGGGGAGTAGGGGCCATAGATTTGGGAGGAGGCGGCTCTTGAGCTGAGATTTGAAAGGAGTGAGAGATGCTAAGAGTCTGAATTGCGAAATGAGTGTATGACAGGCATGAGGGACAGCCTGGGCAAAGACACTGAGAGAGGAAATGGAATGATGTCATATATAAGGAATGCAGAGTGCATTAAAGGAACTGATGCATAATAAGCCAAGACATTGACTATGATGATTCCAGAGAGCAAAAGGAAATTTAAACTCTAAGGCCCTATTCCATTTTTAAGACAAGATTCCATTGCTGTGACCAGGAAAATTATGTTTAGAACTAGGAGTGTTCTTAAAGATCATCTAATCCAATTTCTTCATTTTGTTGTTGTTGTTGTTCAGTCATTTTTCAGCTATGTCCAACTCTTCAGTGACCCCATTTGAGGTTTTCTTGGCAGAGATACTGGGGCGGTTTGCCATTTCCTTCTCTAGCTCACTTCACAGATGATGAAACTTAGGCAAACAGGGTTAAGTGACTTGCTAGGTCAAACAAGGTTAAGTCACACAGCTAGTAAGTGTCTGAGGCCAGATTTGAACTCACAAAGATGAGTCTTCTTCCTAATTCCAGGCCCAATGGGCTGCACCACCTACTGCCCCTCATTTTACCAATGAGGAAATTTAAACCCTTAGAAATCAATAAGCAATTCTGTCTCATAAGCAATGTATCCCAGTGGATGGGGCACTGAATTATTTTTTTTTAAGTCAGGAAGCCCTGGATTCAAACTGCCTCAGGTACTTGCTAGCTATGCCTCAGTTTCTTCATCTGCTAAATATGAGTATGAATTCAATGGCTATTGAGCTTCCTTCCAGCTCTAAATCTTGACTTTCCTGGTTTTAGAACTATAGAATGTTTGAGCAGAAAGGGGACCCTTGAACATAGAGCACAAATACCAGAGTCTGAAGAGACCTAAGAGAACATCCCATCCAAGGGGGCTAAGGCTCAGAAAAGGCAAGTGACTTTCTCAATGTCACACAGCTCTGTGATAGCAGAGTCAAGAGGAAACCCTAGGTTGTATGTCTCCAGTCCTCACACTTTTTCCACTCCATGGGGTCAGTAGCTTTCTGAGCCCTCCTCCTCATCTTTGAAAGGAGGATAGCATTATGATGATCTCCTAGAGATTCTTCTGGCTCTAAAAGTCTGTGAATTCAAGGAAAGAAAGAAGGAAAGAAAGAAAGAAGGAAAGAAAGAAAGAAAGAAAGAAAGAAAGAAAGAAAGAAAGAAAGAAAGAAGAAAGAAGAAAGAAAGAAAGAAAGAAAGGAAGGAAGGAAGGAAGGAAGGAAGGAAGGAAGGAAGGAAGGAAGGAAGGAAGGAAGGAAGGAAGGAAGGAAGGAGAAAGAAAGAAAGAAAGAAGGAAGGAAGGAAAGAAGGAAGGAAGGAAGGAAGGAAGGAAGGAAGGAAGGAAGGAAGGAAGGAAGGAAGGAAGGAAGGAAGGAAGGAAGGAGAGAGAGAAAGAGAGAGAGAAGGAATGAAAGAAAGAGGGAAAGAAGGAAGGAAGGAAACTGGAACTATTCTAGCTTTTTCTAAACAAAGCCTTTTGCTAGGCAGTCTTGACTTTTAATTGCTCTCTAGTTCAGGCACCAACAACCCTATTATGATTTTTTGCCACTGTCTCACTCTGGTCTATTTTCATCTTGAACAAAAGGTTCCTGACACTGGCAGCTGGGTTCTAGCTCCTCAGCCAACATGACCAGCAGCAGCCACTCTGTCTTTGCACCCACAACAGCTGCTATGTAAAACACTTTAACATGAATTGCTCTCTGTAAAACCAAGCTCTTGCTCTATGCAAAAACTGAATAGCTTTTGGGCAATCAGAACAAGTTGTGGCCTCTGTTAAGGGACTGGTTTACATCTAGAAATCAACTGTTATCAATTGCAGTCAGCCAGACAGCTGCATCCTGGTCAACTGGCTATGGTCGCCTTGTCTCCCTGCTGTTAGAGTAATCGTTTTTCACCCTGTATGGGTGACATTGAAGGTGTGAGAAAAGAGGAGCTTTCCGATTCCCATGTGATTTGCTAGCTTAAAGCCAAATCTCCGCATCTTTAAAACATGATTGGCCAGTTCTGTAATTTCATTTCACACGGGCATACACACACACACACACACACACACACACACACACACACACACACACTTCAGTCGAAATATCTTTCAAATCCTCCCTCTGACACTCTACAGGCAAAACAGCAGGATGTTTGACTGAACTTTTGTCCTTCTAATGGCCTTTCTCCAGCCACAGCCTTTGAAATCCCTCTTCAGTTTTTGATACTATTGACCAACCCCCACTCCCTCTTTCAGGATACACCGACATCCTTCAACTTTCGGAAAAATGCTGTCTTCTGGTACTCCTCCTATCTACCTGACGAGTCCTCCTCGTATTTCTGTTCATTATCATCATATCATCATCCCTTTCCTGCCCCAGAGCCCACATGTATCCTAGGGGTCTGTCTTGAATTTATTTTTTCTATTCCCTCTTCTTCCATTTCCTTCTCTGTCTCTATCTCTGTGTCTGTCTCGGTCTGTCTCTGTCTCTCTGTCTCTGTCTCTGTCTCTGTCTCTCTCTCTCTCTCCCTCCCTCCCTCATCCCCTAAACATGGATTCCAGTACTTGAGGAAAGTCATTTATAAACCTAACGTGAGTCATTATATAAGTATTATGATCCACTTCTGACATATGGAGAAACTGAGACTCAGGTTGTTTACTGTTTTGCCCAAGGACACAAAACCAGTAGGTAGCAGAAATGGGGCAAGACCCAGTTCTTCTGACTGAACCTAATAATCTTTTTCTCTTGCATCGCTTAGAGTTCTAACATTTTATCATTCCCATTCTGCCTGGTTTGACAGTTTCATTTTGAAAACTATTTACACTTCCCCAAAGTGAATAACTAGGAGCTTTAAAACCATGGTGACAGGAGTGGGCATGATTTTTCTAATGAAGTTTGACATGGTGAACAAAATGTCAGAAGGAAAGATGAAGGTATTAAAATTCTCCCAAACGAATGAACTTGGACATCTTATATTTCTCATGATTAATTTCATTTCTGTCACCACCTTTTATAGCGGATCATAACTTTTTTCTCCAAGAAAATTATGGGAAAAATAACCTGGCTTTACTTTTATATAGCAGCTATAAATTTCTACCCTGACCAAGGGTTGTTAATTTGGCAATGAAAATGTAATCAAAGTTTTTAAGGACTTGGAATAATTTTAGCTTGATTATTATGAAATATTTTATGTAACCATATATTTCTTTCTCTTCCAGACAGATCAGTTTGAAGGATTTAAGCGATGTAAGTAGCCATCTCCTTCAGTACCATAAAAAAAAAGGTAAAGGGGAACAAATTCTATGTTATGAAAGCACATGCTTTTACAGTAGTCTAGGTATCTATAACTAAACTGATTTAAAGAGAACATACCATTACATAATACAGACCTCTTCAAGTAAACAGAAAATATATCCTTCAATGTCGCAGAAGTTTCAGCAAGAGACACATCAAATATACTGGAAACCTTCATATGATGTTATTCAGCATAGCACAAAACTCAGTGTAAGTCATGGATTATACCATCTGTTGAGGGCTAGTATAGAGGCAATGTGTTTTAGTGGCAAGACCCCTAATCTTGGAGTCAGAGGCAATGGGTCCAGTGTGGACTACATGGCCTGAGACAAGTCATTTAACCTCTCAAGTCCTCTGTTACTTTAGCTGTAAAATGAAGGGGTTACATTAGAAGATCTCCAGAGACTCATCCATCTCCAACATTCTCTGATTCTATGAAATGAGGTAAAGAGTCACCTTAATGAGGCATTTTGGGAAAGGTGGTCCTACAGTTTGCACAGTATTACAATTAGGACCAAGAGTTTTAGTTATAATGTCTATGGTTCATAAAACTACAGTTAAGTTCCTTTTTCTATACATTAGCGCCTTGCCTTTGTTGATTATCTCCAATACTCTGCATACATACCATTGATATAATTGTTTGCATGTTAGATTGTGAGCTCCTCAAGGTCAATGACTGTCTTTTGCTTCTCTTTGTATCCCTAGAACTTAGCACAGTGCTTGGCACATTGTAGGCACTTAATAAATGCTTGCTGACTAATAGAAATTATTAATAAAAAAACAAAAAAAGGGAAGCTATTGTCTCAGGGATACTTAACATATCATCGATCTACACTGATAACAGGGTAATACTAATGCAGCTGGTACATATAGTAAAACCTCCATCCTTTTTTATCCCTAGTACAAATCTTGTCTACATCTTTTTTGCAGAATCTACATAGAGTATCTCACCAATGCACTTGAGCTGATTCTTTCAATATTTCATGAATACCAGTGCAGCAGTTGGGTTTTCCATCACTTATTCTTATAAGCAGACCAAAACCCATCTCTTTTCTCAATCATATATAAACTTGACTATGTCTTTTATCCCATTTCTCACATATAAATAACCATTCAGATTACACTGCAGCCTACTTGGGTCCACTGTGTGTGTTTCCATTGCTCCTTAAGTCTCTTGTAATTTTGATTCTTCTGAGATCATGGTGTTCTGTAATTTGCAACTACAGAGAATCAACAGGAGAATATTTACATTAAAAAGATGGGCTTTTGTAGCAGCAAGCAGGTTGCTATCATTAGAATTACTGTACAATTTTCCAAGGGCAGTAAAATAGGATTTCTTAATCCTGTTCAATTTGGGCTCCTATTATTGTCAATACTGCAGATTGACAATACATCCAAGATAGATTAATGTACTAGTATTCTGATATGCTCTTGGATTAGTTCAATGAGTTATCAAACAGCACAGCATAACCTGGGCAATACACATTTTTATCCACTTTATTTTTCCATAGTGGATAACTAGGATTATTTCTTTTGAATGATGGTAGATTTCATTGACTCTATCCCCCAAACCACCCTGAGCTCTGACTGGTAAGGTTTTGCCTTATTTTGCTTCGATCCAGGCTTCCACTTCACTTTCTTACTATTCCCACCCAGGCTAACATTTCCAACTCCTCCACACCATAACGTTTGGTCAGGCTTGTGAGAAGAGGTGCCTAGCTCTGGCTTCTCCCATCAGTGATAATGATGAGGTCAAGGGGCACAATTAGCCCCTGAAACCACCCTGGGCTCTAATCAGAGACCTTTTGCCTTATCTTGTCTGACTCTGGTTTCCTTCTCAGTTCTTGGTCATGTCCATACCACAACAGGTTCCTCCCTCCCCAGCTCCCCACCTTTCCCCACCTTATCCCTTCTAGCTGTCCTATTTGTGTTGGGGAACCTTTATTATGTTAAGGGAAGACCTGTATTAGAATGGAAACTTCTGGAGGGCAGAGACTGTCTTGCTTTCTTATATTAGTATCCTCAGCACTTCGGGCAGTACCTGGTACTGCAGTGCTCCCAGGACTTGATAAAATTAGAACAATGTTCTCCTTGGACAGCAGCATCTAGAGAATTCCTCTAATAATAGAGACTCCATCTTCTCCTTGGACATTGTGCAGGACATATTTTTTAATTTGGTGTGTATCTTAACCTTTGTACTAACTAGCTACGAATGTAAATGTACACAGGCCCCAGCAAACACCTTAAGTGAGTGTGCATGTGTGTGTGTGTGTGTGTGTGTGTGTGTGTGTGTGTGTGTGTGTATGAAAAATCCTGGTCCCTTTTTAAAAAGTCTTTGGTCACAAGCTTTGGATCCAGAAAAAAAAATTGACAAAATTCACCTCCCTCCCTTCTTTGCAGATGTGAGGAGATATGACTATAAAATATTGTACCTACTATCATATATAATTGGTGCTATGATGACCCCCATTTTACAGTTGAGGAAACTGAGGTAGATAGAGTTTAAGTGACTTGCCTAGGGACAAATGGCCAGTTTGCATCTAGGCTTGATTTTATAATATAATTAAGAAGGAAAATTATGAGGGATATAAGTAAATCTGAGAAGATCTTTATGATCCTTGGTGTAAAAAAAAAGAACCAGAAGAATAGAGTACATAATAATTATGGGTCATATGATAAAAAGTGAATGATGATGATTCAAGAAAAATTGTGATGAGTCCTTAGAGGGAGGGATTAGAAAAATGTAACCATACCTGTGTTGAAACCAATTAAATTAAATGTTAAAAGTTAATAAGCAAGTTTAGTTGTTTATATTGATGTTAAATGTTATTTCTAATAAGGCAATAATTTTTAAAAGGACACCATTGGATTTACAGCTTAAAGAAACTTTAGAACCATCTAGCCCAGCCTCCTCATCTTAGAGGTGAAAAAAACTGAGGCCAGAAAAAGAGAAATTACTTGCTCAAAGTCATATGGCAGTAAATAAAAGTTAATAATCATTTATTAAGTGTCTACTACATGCCAGACTCTGTGCTAAGCTCTGGGGATACAAAAAGAAGCAAAAGACAGTCCCTGACTGAAAGGAGCTTACAGTCTGATGGGGAAGACATGAAGCAAATAAATGTGTACAAACCAACTATATACAGGATAAATAAGAAATAATTAAAAGATGGAAGGCATTGGAATTAGCAACATTTGGGGAAAGGCTTCCTATAGGAAATGGGATTTTAGCTGAGACTTAAAAGAAGCCAGGAAAGCCATTAGGCTGAAATGAGGAGAGAAAGCATTACAGGCATGGAGGATAGCCAGACAAAATTCCCAGAGCCAAGAGATGAAGTATTTTGTCCACAGAACAGTGAGGAGACTCCTGTGTCAATGAATCAAAGAGTGCATGTAAGGGATAAGAAGACTAGCAAGGTAAAGGCAAGGGAGCTAGTTTAAAAAGATCTTTGAATGCCAGAGAATGTGGTATTTGATCCTGGAGGCAATAGGGAGCCACTAGAGTTTAACGGAGGATGAGAGGGGTGGGGTGACATAATCAAACTTGCTCTTTAAGAAAATCCCTCTGCTGCCTGAATGGAAGATGAACTGGAGTGGGTAGAGGGTTAAGGCAGGTAGCTAACATCAGGCTGTTGCAATAATCCAAATATGAAGTGATAAGGACCTGTACCAGAGTGGTGACAATATTAGAGAAGAAAAGGGGGTATGGTAGAGAAATGTTACAAAGATGAGATCTAAAGCCTTTGGTAACAGATTGGCTATGGGGCAAGGGGTGGGAGGGGGGAGTAATAAGAAATAGTGAGAAGTTGAAGACAACACCTAGGTTGTGAGCCTGAGGAACTGGGAGATGGGGCTGCCCTCTACAGTTATAGGAAAGGTGCATAGAGGGGAAAGATAATGAGTTCAGTTTTGGACATGTTCAGTTTAAGATGTCTACTGGATAACCAATCTGAAATGTCTGAAAGGTAGATGGAGATGTGAGATTGGAGGTCAGCAGAGACGTTAGGGCAGGATAGGTAGATTTGAAAATCATCAGCATAGATATGATAATTAAATCTATGGGAGCTGATCACCAAGTGAAATAATACAGAAGAAAAAGAGAAGAGGGCCCAGGGCAGAACCCCACAGGACATCTCCAATTAGAAGGTGTGATCTGGAAAAGCATCCAGCAAAGGAGACAGAGGAGAAGTCTGATAGGTAGGAGGACAATAAGGAAAGAGTGGTATTCTGAAAACCTTGAGAGAAGAGAATGTCAAGGAGGAGAGGGTGATGAACAATATCAAAGGCTACAGAAAAAATCAAGAAGGAGGATTGAGAAAAGGCATTTGGATTTGGCAACTGGTAACTTTTGGTGCAATGATGAGGTCAAAGTTAGGGGAGTTAAGAGTGAGAGGAGAGGAGAGGAAGTGGAGACACCTACTGTAGATGGCCTTTTTGAGGAATTTCACCATAAAAGTGAGAAGAGCTGGAATGTAGACACAATTCTCATTGACTCCCAAGACAGCACTTGGCTTCAATGGACTGTGTGAAAGTCATGGAGACTCAGTTACTGGCCCATTATCGTACAGCAAGTATAGAGCATTTCCAATATACTCCATTCACTGCAATTAGTCTTGTGTTCATCCTCAGCAAATGTAAAATTAATGTCAACTACTGATGACAAAGTATATAAAGCACTGCCGAGGGTATTTTGCTTGTTGAATCCAGTTTATAATTCCTATATTTAGAGCTGGAATGAATATGTTAGAGCAGTGGTGTCCAACTCAAACAGAAATGGGGGCCACTAAATCATCCATGAGGATACCTGCAGTTCATATATTGTCTGAGAAAAGCACATATTAATATCATAGATTCCATTGTAGGACAGCTAGGTGACACAGTGGGTAGAGCTCAAGGCCTGGAGTCAGAAAGACTCATCTTCATGAATTCAAATCCAGCCTCCGGCACTTACAAATTGTGTGACCCTGGACAAGTCACTTAACCCTGTTTGCCTCAGTTTCCTTATCTGTAAAATGAACTGAAGAAGGAAATGGCAAATCACTCTAGTATCTCTGCCAGGAAAACCCCAAATGGAGTCATGAAGAATCAGAAAAAACTGAACAACAACAATATTCCATTTTATTTTTATTATTTATTTTATTTTACTAATTCTATACTCACTATTATTTAATAATAAATTTATTTATTTACAATTATTATATTATAATTTCCCAATTACATTTTAATTGGGTTCTGTGGCACTTGGGAGTGGTACAGGCTGTACTTTTCATACCTCTGCTTTAGAGGTCATCTTATCCAACCCCTTCATTTTATAATTGAGGTCCTGAGAAATTAATTGGCTTGATCACTAAGCTAATAATTAGCAGATGTAGGATTTGAACCCAGTTACTTTACCTCTAAATTGAGCACTATTTCTGCTGAACTATGCTGAGGCTCCATGGTAATACAGCTGGTATGTGAAAGATCAAAAACTAGAGCCCAGCTCTTCTGAAGCCAAGTCTTGGGCTCTTTCCACTACAAAAGACGAAGGTCACATCAAAGATTTTGCATTTCAATTTATAGTATGAAACTTACTTCAGGGAATGGAATAAGGCATGAGGGTTTTCTTTTTTTTTTTTCACCCGATCTGCATTTTGAAAATTTTTTAACTTCATCCATGTGGGGAACTCCAAGCCTAAGGTTACAAATTCTAAATGAAAGTACATGTCAATTATAAAGCATTTAGAAACCCTAAGGTGCCCAATTAATGATTATCAGAAAGGAGATACTAGGAATCAAAATGACTAACCCACTTTTCTTCCCAAAGTAATCTCTCTTAACCAGGACAATTTGCCTGGTTATAAAAATATGTCTGGGTCAGTTTTGTCTGAACTCTTTTTCTCTTATTGAATTTTCATTTTATTATTTCTATTCTGAAATTCCTATTATTGAATAATATTTCTATTACCTATGTATTTTCAAATTTCTATTATTGAATCTGCTGGGAATTTCTATTTGTGAGTCATTCAGCATCATTGTTCTGATTCTTTCTATACAGGTGCATCAAGGAAATAAAGGTACATTCATTATATTATTTGGATATAATATTTTCTTACATTTCCATACTTGGATTATTAGTGGTTCAGGTCAAGGAATCCTATTCATTATTTTAATCACAGAAGAACCTGTATATGTGTGTCACTTTGTCTTTGCATCCCTAGAGCTCAGTGTGCAACCAGCTCTAATCTATGTAAAGAAAGAGTTGGCAAACAAAATTAAAATTTACCCATATACCAAAACCCATACTCTATCCATTAGTTTCAACTTTGTCTTACACAACTCAAGAATCATTAGACCCCAGCTATTCACTTCCTACTTTTAAACAATTTGGCCACATTCAAATGTTTACCTTCAGAGAGCCTCCAGCTTCAGGGGCTCTTTTCCTTTGCTTCAGACAGTTTCCAAGCTAGTGTTCCACCACACTTCTGATCCTCATAGAGATATGAGGTCCTTTTGTTGTCAATAGGTTAGATTTTAAATCACATTCTATTGATATCGTGAAAGTAGTGATAGCTAGGGTGGAAGGGGAAAGGGTATATAATGTGGGGGTTGGGAGGTAGGGAGGTATAATTGGGGGTGTGAAGAGGGGTGTAAGCAAAGAGACAGTGTGGTAGAGTGGACAAACAGCTGGCTGGACTCTTGAACAACAAGATAAAATCAGAAATCTGTGGCACCCTCACTAAAGATAACATGCAGGCCAACTTGCAAGAGGACAGAGGTTAGTTGTTACTAGCTCTCTTGCTTCCCATTATATGTGAGGGTCAAAGGTAGCTTCCCACCATTGCTAATCTCCTATAAAGGAATCTCCCCACCCCTTGCTTGCAAGAATCTATACATAGGTACCATCTTCTTCTCTTCCCCTAATCATATGAGAACAGGGATCAGAGACTTTCATAAAACCATGGAATCTTAGAACTAGAAAAGATCAGATAGGCTATCTATTCCAATTTTAACCTGAATGAGGAAACAATCTCTTCTATAACATCCCTGGGGCAGCTAGGTGGCACAGTGAATAGAGCACCAGGCCTGAAGTCAGGAAAACTTGAGTTCAACTCTGGCCCCAGACACTTACTAGCTACATGACCCCAGGCAAGTCACTTAATCCTGTTTGCCTTAGTTTCCTCATCTGTAAAATGAGCTGTAGAAGAAAATGGTAAAGCACTCCACTGTCTTTGCCAAGAAGACCACAAATGAAGTTATGAAGAGTCAGACACAACTGAAACAACTGAACCATAATATCCCCAGCAAATAGGCATCCTTCCTCTGCTTAAACACCTTCAGTGACAGGGAACTCACCCACCTCCACAGCAGACCATTCAATTGTTGGATAGATTTAATTGGTAAGGAATTTCTCCCGTAAACTGTCGCAAAAATCTGTCTCCCTGAACCTCCCACACATAGCTCCTACTTCTGTCCTTGGAGGCCAAGCAAAATAGTTCTATTTCATCTGACATATGAAGTCTCTTCAGATATTTGAGGAGCTGTAATCACAAAGCCTCCAAGCCCTCTCTTCTCCAGTTTAAAAGTGCAGACCCTTTTTTCAAAGCTTAGAGACCACTGAGTTCAAGTTAGCATAATACTCCTTCCCTAGCAAGGCCAAATGTATGTTTTGGACCAAAAAAGTTTAGGGAACACTTGTCGGAAAAAAAAAATCCTAAAGCATCTAGGAGCTAAGGATGTCTATTGCCTATGGCCCAGGAGTCAAGGGGAGTTTCGAATGGATGTTTTAGAGTCTCCATAGACCTGCCAGAAGCTGGAGGTGCTATTCCAATGAGATATGAATTGCATTTGGTCAAAATTATACTATCTCCCATGTGCTCTATAATTTCACTTAATCATCTGTCATTTGTGATTTGGATGGAATTGTATTTGTTTATGAAGTTCCAGATCACCTGAAGAGGCCTGTTCTGCCTTGCCAAACACAGCATCATCTGAAGGATCATTCTGTTCCTGTTGCCAGGTAGGACCTGAAAATGCCCTTCCTGGATTATGGCCTGTGGGATCATGAGAATTTACAGTGTCTCATAATTATGTGCCAAATGCTTGATGAGAAGAACTGGGGAAAAAAAAAACAACTATGGACATCTACATTGTGAAGGGGAAGGAGACAGAAAGCTTTAGTGATGGTTGCCTGCCCTAGAAAGCCATGAGGAAAGGTGGTTATTAAAGTCAGTCTCACTGAATTTCCTTGCTATAATATAGGTGATTAATATGGGGCTTCTGAGGACTCAGAGGTCGTCTAGCTGGACATACACACACACACACACACACACACTTCTTCAAAGGACTAAGTGTTCTTTAACACTAAGCAATTGGAGTAAGAAAGATTGGAAATGTCTTTAACTCTTAATTAAATTTTAGTCTTTTCAATTAATAAATTTATTTTCTCTCTTTCCTACCTCCCCCAACCCCCCTCCAAAAAAAAAAATTGCACATACACACTGAAAACAAAAACAAAACCCTTGTAACAAATATATGTAATCAAACCAAACAAATTCCCATGTTGGTTGTGCCAAAAAATACCTATCACAGTCTACATCCTGAGCCCATCACCTTCCTGATGGGATGGAGGTGGATAGGATTTTTATTGTTGGTCTTCTAGAATCCTCCTGGTTGGTCATTTCATTGATCAATGTGTTTAATTTTTTCTTTCAAATATTTAGGCATCAGAAAAGGATTTTTGAGGAGCAGTAATAATGTTAATAACAAATGATATGATATAGCACCATGAAGGTTTATAGACCAGAAGCAGTATGACATATAGTCTTGGAGTCAGGAAGACCTGGGTTTAAGTCTTGCTTTTCATACATCCTGTCTATGTTACCCCGGGCAAGTTTTTTAACCCTTTAGTGCCCCAAGCCACTCTCGGAGGCTCTAAGCTGCAGAGAAATTGCTTACTTATATTAGTAGAAAGGATTTCCTCATTCAAGGAGTTCCCTATAACATTGAAATCACAGGTGCAGTCTTTAACCCTATGCCTAAGATTTTCATAACACTTTCTTCACAATAATCATATAAGGGAGATAGCTCGATCAAGTAAGACTATCCCATTTTCACATGTGAATAACACATACTATAGATGCAGCATGATACAGACAGGAAAGTGCCGGCCTTAGAGTCAGAGGACCTATGTTCAAATCCTGCTCCTGCCCCCTCCTCCCTGGGTAACCTCAGGCAGATGACTTAGCCTCTCTGGGACTCCTAGACCTGAAATGTCCTCTCCCTGTCCCATCTCTAAGTCCCTCCCCTCCTCTAAAGTCCAACATCCAAATTTAACCTCCACAAAGCGATCCCCAGGTCTTCCTTCAATTCTCCCAGGTGAAAGCGATTTCTACTTCTTCGAACTTCTTCCAATATTGTGTTAGACATTAGTGTGTATTTTTTATTGCTGTCATTGTCCTTTCTGTTCCAGCTATGTGTGTCTTTGTCCTCTAGTCCCCAATGAGATTGCTAACTCCCTGAAAGCAGGGCCTGCACCATATCTGTCTTTGTAGCCACAGTACTGAGCACAATGTTTGGCACATGGTAGCATTGAATATGTGTTTATTTGAATTAAAATTATCTATTTGAGCTATAACCATTTCCCCCATGAAAATAGTATCAGATTTCCTTAAACCAGAAGACTTTTTGAAAATTGAACAGGATAACTTAATTTCACTATTAAGAAAATGACAGCCTCATAGAACTCTACCAAACTGTTTCTTTCCCAAACATTTTTGCCAACATTGAAAAGGCCAGTTCTTTTTGAAACAAGACTAAAAAGATGGAAATGCCCAATTGGCTTTGAAGCCTGGGATAAGAGAAACAGCAGCGGACTTCGCCTGAGGTGACCTGACCTTAAGCCAGACTTCCAATGCTTCCTAGCCATGTGGGTCTTTCACCTCACCTATAAAACAGGAATAAAAATTATGTGGAACTTGGGGCACTCCTACTCAAAACTATAGTTCATGAGTCCCAGATGATGGTTTATTTTAATGAGCCAGCCAGAGGATGGGGAGAACATTAGTGACCAAAGAATTCACATGCACAGAGAGAACACAAATAGAAAGCACCTAGAGTCAGGAAATACACTGTTTGCGGTTGTTTAGTCATTTTTAGTCATCTCTGACTCCTTGTGACCCTATTTGGGGTTTTCTTGTCAGAGATACTGAAGTGGTTTGCCATTTCCTTCTCCAACTCATTTTTACAGATGAGGAAACTGAGGCAAACAGGATTAAGTGACTTGTCCAGGGTCACATAGCTAGTAAGTGTTTGAGGCCAGATTTGAACTTACATCTTCCTGACTCCAGTCATGGCACTCTATCCACTGTGCTCCCTGTCTTGAATGGCCAAGGTACACACATAGTCTATGCCAGAGGTGGAGAACCTGTAACCTGGAGGCTCCTTTGTAAGAGCCACACTTGAGACCTAGAGGGCCACAAGTGTCCTTCAGGCCACAGGTTCCCCACCCCTGGTCTATGCTTCCCTTTACAGGCTTTATGAAAATCTATGGGATGCCATATACCATATTTGCTATACTGCTTGATTAAAAAGCTTTTGTTTGGACTATTCTGTCTCCTGGATGGCTGGTAGAAGTTAATAAACCAGTTGGGGCTCGTGAATCATGGTTTTGAGTAGGCACTGACCCCTAAATCACCTTGAATCTAAGGCAGGATTCTAGGGGGCTCATATTCCAGATAGTCTCAGGTTCCAAACTTGTAAAAATTGTTTGACAGGGAGTTAATGAGGAAAGTAGTTTATGAACTTTAAAGCACTATATAAACATAAGCTATTACTATAATACCATCACCTATTACTTGAAATCATTTTTTTGCACTACAATGTTCAATCATTTCTCAAAGGACATTTACCTCCTGATATTGTTCTGAATTCATCTAAGTTCCTAAAGAGCAGAGACTATTTTGATTTATCTTTGTAATCTCAGTGCATAACAGAGTCTATCACACATAGTAGGTGCTTTAATAAATATCTGTTTGCTTGAATTTGGAGATAAAGGAAAAAAATTCATTGAAATTGATTTTAATAAGATTATGTATCTAGTACCCTTCAGCATTCATCTGAAGGAGGTGAAGAAAACAACCTAAAGGCTTCCTAAAGCCCTGGCCTTGCTGGTTCCAACCCAATACCAAGTGAGCTATCAGAGCCCTGCAGCCTCCAATTGTGAAGAAATCCTGAAGCCCAGGTGGTAGAACAGGCAAACACCAACACCTGGACCTCGAGTGCCTCAGTGAGGGTGGTGGAAACCGGTAGAAATCAGCTCAGAAAACCACCAGGTGCCTCAGCACTCTACCACAAAGGAATCTCCCAGTGCATTAGCAGAAACGAGGGAGACAACACTGCAGGGGGCCCCAGGCAGATAAACACCTTGCACCACCCATCTAAAAGGAGCCGAAGAAAGCTAAAGGAAAGGAAAAGCAGGCAACCTAGAATTGCCTGAAAGTTCCAGCCTTGCTGATTCCAGCCCAACACGAGGTAAGCTACCAGAAACCTACAGCCTCCAATTGCCAACATAAGAGGCCCCAGCACACAAAGCCAGTGACCAAGACATAGGCTCCCAATACAAGAAGCTTGGGTCAGTGCCCTCTGTTCCCCAGCATGAGAGGTCAATCTCTTTAAAGGCCAGGGAATAAAGAAACACCATGAGTAAAAAGAAACGTACCATAGATTCATATTATGAGAAGAGTGAAGATCAAGACAGAAATTCTGAAGAGGACAACATTGTTAACAAACCCATATCTGCAACAACAAAAGGGAATATGAACTGGTCTGAAGCACAAAAAGCCTTCTTAGAAGAGCTCATGAAGGATTTTAATAGTCAAATGAGAGAGGTAGAAGAGTCCTTCTAAAATACAATTGGCCAATTGGAAAAAAAAATACACTGAAGAAAACAAGTCCCTAAAAAAACTCAATTGGCCAATTGAAGAAGGAAGGACAAAAACTGACAGAAGAGTACACTGAAGAAAACAAGTCCATAAAAAACACAATTGGCTAATTGAAGGAGGAAGTACAAAAACTAACAGAAGAAAACAATCTGTTATAAACTAGAATTGGACAAATGGAAACTAATGTCTCTATGAGAGAGCAAGAATCAGTCAAACAGAAACAAAAAAATGAAAAAAATAGATGAAAACAACTGACCTGGAAAATCGATTCAGGAGAGACAATTTAAAAATTATTGGACTACCTGAAAACCATGATGAAAAAAAAAGCCTGGACAGTATCTTTCAGGAAATCATAAAGGAAAACCACCCAGAAGTTCTAGAACCAGAAGGCAAAATAACCATAGAAAGAATATACCGCTCACCACCTCAAAGAGATCCCAAATTCACAACGCCAAGGAATATAATAGCAAAATTCCAAAATCACCAGATGAAAGAGAAGGTGCTGCAAGCAGCCAGAAAGACACAATTTAAATATCATGGAACCACAGTCAGGATTACACAGGACCTTGCAGCTTCTACATTAAAAGACCACAGGGCACAGAACATGATATTCTGTAAGGCAAAGGAGCTTGGAATGCAGCCAAGGATCAATTACTCAGCAAAAATGAGCATCATTTTTCAAGGGAGGAGATGGATATTCAACAAAATAGGAGACTTCCAAACTTTCCTGATAAAAAGACCAGAGCTCAACAAAAAATTTGATCTTCAAGTACAGGACTCAAGAAGGAAATAAAAAGGTAAATGGGACAGAAAGATAAAATATGTTGTTAATGGGGGGGGTGCTGTTTAAACCCTTACAAGGGAATATGACACTTGCAATCCTTGAGAACTGTACTGTTATTACACCATGTTAAAGGAGTATACACAAAGAGGGTGGATATTAGTTGACTTTGATGTAATGATAAAAAAAAATCTAATCAACTGGGTTAAACGGATCCAAATAAGTGGATCAATCTGATCTTAGAAAATGTACTGAGGGACAGCTAGGTGGCGCAGTGGATAGAGCACCGGCCCTGAA